CACGGCAACCCCCCGAACAAACCCCCAATTACAACGACGCACCACCGCACCGCGCCCCATCCCCGTCCCCATCGCCACCGCTTTTAAATCCCCACCGCGAACGGACCGAACGGCCGGCCTACCCACCCCCTGCCGCTCCCTGCCTAGGGTTTTGAGTCCCGCCCCCCTCCGCCGCGCACCATGGGCCCCGACGAGCTCCCCAAGGCCGCCGCCGCCGGTGCCGAGGAGGCCGCCCCGTTCTCCTTCAGCATCTGGCCGCCGACGCAGCGGACGCGGGACGCCGTGGTGCGGCGCCTGGTGGACACGCTGGCCGGCGACACCCTCCTCTGCAAGCGCTACGGCGCCGTGCCGGCCGCCGACGCCGAGCCCGCCGCGCGGGCCATCGAGGCCGAGGCCTTCGACGCCGCCGCCGTCACCGGCGGGGCCGCCGCCTCCGTCGAGGAGGGCATCGAGGCGCTGCAGCTCTACTCCAAGGAGGTCAGCCGCCGCCTCCTCGACTTCGTCAAGTCCCGCTCCGCCGCCGCCAAGGCCGAGCCGCCGGCCGAGGAGGCGCTCGCCGTCAAGGAGGAGACCTCCCAGGCCTGAGCCCCGGACGAGAACCGTTCGTTTCGATTATGCTTCGAGATAAAATTCATTTGCATCTAGAGTTCGTGTGCGGCGTTGGCCTCTGCTTGGGATGAGTTGCCTGTAGGTTGTTCGCGTGCCTGTGCTGTTATTGTTCTTTCAGTAGCTGCTGGTTACCTTTTTTTTTAGTGTGTTCGTTTATTACTTCCGTTTGTATCTGTGAACAAGAATTATCTTCACCTTGTCGTGGCAATGATCCAAGATTTGACCGGAATATCTGTCACCAAGCTTCTCAGATCAATACATATTTTATAATTCTGTAGCATAATTTCAGACTGAAGGTGTGGAACAAGGCCCAAATTATGGGCAATCCACCCTTCGTTCTAATGGCAGTAGTGTGTTCTGAACCCCGATCATGCTTGTATTTGAATTTTCTGTGCTAGTAGGGACACATTTGATTAATGATGATTATGGTTTGAGCAATCATAGCATTGTGTCTCACTTTTAGTATGCTCTGTCTTTCGCCTTTTCTATCTCTTAAGCAAGGGATAATGATTCATATCTGACTGACCATCGAAATCTCAAGCATCTCAAGTAACCTACTGGTCGAATTCTGAGAGTCGAGAGTCAAGCCCTTCTGTTTCAAAACCTCTGAACTCTGATCAGTGATTTTAGTCCAGTCGGGTAATGTAATGCATATGAAGACATCTATCTAATTGCTGAATATGCAGTACGCCAATCAGAACATTGTGCCTCTCAGTCCTTCCATAAATTTATGGAAAGGAACATTGTGTCTCAGTCACTGCATTGAAGGAGTTTTACTAGTTGGTATTTTTGTACATTTTGAGTCAGTATTTGCTACTCTGGCGATTATCTTGTAGCAAGGAGTCTTCATATCTTGCCGTTGCTAGTGAAGGCCAAGTATTATTCTCCTTTCTGCTTTCAGTAAATCTCGAGTTCATCATCTTTTAAATGATGTGATATAGAATAGCAATATTTTGTAGCGAAAATAAACAGATTAAAGCATGCTTCTCTTTTCTTTTGCCCATCACTTGACTGAGAACGTCTCACTCGCGAGTTTGGTGATGCTATAGCTTTCTAATACCTGTCCTTAGGATCAGTTGGACCAAAATAATGGAGATCTTGTCATTCTTGGATGGCGATCGTCTTGTTCTCGACCAGTCTGGCTGACATGAAACGTTGTTGTTTAGCCAGTTTCTACATAATTAAATATGGTTTAACTAGTTTGAAGATGGAGACATAATGTCTTCCATGATTGGTATGCTCCATTCGCAAGAGGTCGCCCTGTGAACCAAAGTGGAACCTCTCTTGAAACTGCCGGTGCTTATATTCTTCCACGCTTAACCTGCATGAACTGATACAATTTTTTCTTTCTTCTTTTTGATAACTGTGTATTTTCTGGATCCATCCAGTTCAACAAACGTTTTGCAGAAATTGGTGCTTGCTGGTGAGCTGGTTGCTTGGTTACTTTGAGTTTGATCATTCATTCACAGAAGTGGGGTTTGTTGTACCATACCAAAGCTTTCTGGTGGCTGTAGTTTGCAGTTTGCTTGGACGCCTTCTCAACCGAAATGCAGCACGAGCACTAGCAGCAGTGCTGCACTCCACCACCCGAAGCTTGCAGTTTGTGTAGTCGTGTTGTCCGGCTGCCGAGCTTGGTAGGTACGTTCCCTGGAGCTTGGCTATATCCATATCTCGCTTGCTTTCAGTTCCAGACAATAAACATGGCATGCTTCGGGGACCTTCTGGGGTCCCGTCGCGTCGTTGTTTTTAACATTGTCATTAGCAAGCAGATAAGTTCCACGCCTCTGTGTGACGCTGATGTGATAATGCCACGACTGCCTAGTTCCATCTACTCGAATAGAAATGCAGTCCTGGTAAGCGTAAGGAGGATTGTGCAAGCAGACGCAGCTTATCAGACGTTAGCTCCAACTGGTTAACTCGTTCAGGTTTGTACCACTTGGGCTTTGCTTCTGAATCCCTTTTCACGTAAGTGTGTTTGGACAGGAGCTTAAGCATTGCGTTGCCAGGGGACTGGATCGTTCTAAAAATATACTCCCTTTGATCCATATTACTTGTCGTAGCTTTAGTATCGATTGACCAGCCTTAAGTCAAATATAAGTTTCTTTTTTGAAACAAAGCAAAAGACTTGCTATTGTTATTGATTAAGGAGTAAGAATTGCCCGGTTAGTTAACGGAAAACCGGGCTAAAACCGGTACAACCAGACCCACATGATATGGGCACCACTGGCCAACCTGGCCACCGACATGGAACACAGAGCTACAAGTAAGAAAGGCATCCACCGTGGAGTCTCAAGTGTCATCGTCATCACGTGTGGCCATCGGTTGCCCCCGAACGAGCGACTCCGACTTCACCATGGAGCTCATCATCGGAGCCAACCCGTAAAACAGCTGCATAAAAGCCACGACGGCACATGTTAACAGATGGCCACACGTGCAAGCAAACCGATAGCTCCCACTTTGATGATGAGCATCGCAAGGAAAATATGTAAGACTTGCACCCAAGTCCCGAGAGTCAAATATAAGATTAAGGTGCAACATTAACCGTTCTGGCACACAATCAACAATACCATCAGGAACACGCTTATGTTCATCAATCAATAGTTTAATGTCGAATCAATACCATGAGGTTCTAAAAAAACAGTAACGTGCACATGTTCTCAAGATTATAATACAAAATAGTTTAATGTTAAGTATTCTTTTTTTTTTTGCGGGGAAAAGAGAGCTTTATTAATCTGTCAAAGA